ATATATATATATATATATATATATAATTATTATATCTACCTTTCGTATATAAAAATATCAAATTATCTATCAATCCTAATTGGAAAACAATTAAATTATTATTTAACAATTAATAAAATTATCTATGAAGCTATAATACGATACAAGTTAAAAAAAATATATAACATATAACGACCAAGTCTCAAAGGTGATGAGTGTTATTTTAGATAATAACATAAAACATTAAGATTTATATAAAAATTGAAAAAAAAAAAAAAAACTCATTTTTTTGTAACTTATAAGTATAAATTTATTAGGTAACACCCATATATTATTTTGCTACTAGAATCATTTGAAAATAAATCAATGCTTTTTTTGTGAAATGAAGATAAAATTAAAGTGTATATTTATACTTATCTAAAATTAACCTCATGATTCAGCAAGGGGCTGACAGGGTCAAAAAGAAGCTGCCAAGAAGTGATGGAACTTTTGCACTTGGCGCTGACAATTGCTCGATAATACTCCAGCTTGTTTATTGTCCCTTCTCCTTCCTAAACGGATGAAGTGGTCTTCAGTGTCTAGGACATACGATATCTGATACATGTTTCATCATCAGTATGACAAACAGTTGGGTATATAACAATACATCAAACCAACTAAGTCTGAAATTCCATCGTGAAAGAATAAAATAAATAAATGTACCTTCAGTGTGGTGGCTGACATCTTACATTCCAACCCATTCATTATAAGAGCATTTTCTGTAGCCATATATAGAGCAGTGGATTCATCAACATTGCAATACTTCCGCATATTCCTGCAAGTTTTAAGGGCAATTTATCAACCTAAATATCGCAAATCACTCACTATATTTTTTGCTGTTCAGCTCAACTGTCTTGCTTTACTATTTCTCGAAATACACATTTCAAGTCTAGATATACATACATACCTCTTCAACATTATTTTAGATGACTCCTTTTTTCTATGATCGATCGACAGATATTCATTGTAGAGATAGGATGCAAAGTTGGGATCTATGGAGACTGCAACAGTTTCAGACTTGTCATTTCCATCGTCGATTAATTGTATTGTTAAGCGGGTGGGTGAAGATGTCTGCATTCCAGATCATGAAAACAATTCACCAAATTTGCATACATTTCAGGTAAAAAGGTCAATACATTACTCGGGAAATTAGAAACACTACCACCAAGGTAAAAGTGCGACAAGACCCACTAAATTTTGAAAATCTTGAAGTACCACTCTTCAGGCTTATATTCATTTTACATTTCACGCCTGTTGTTGGTGGAGCCAACATGATACTGACATCAAATATTCTTACAATTGCATTCTCTACTTTTCCAAACTATTACAAAACACCAGAAAAGAGTCAGGAGTCAGGACTCTTGGTAGTATTTGTAGTTAAAAAAATACACACACTACCAATATTCCATCTGATCAACAAAAGATGGGCCAGACAAGAGTCAGGAGTCGGGACAATTGATATTAATTGTAGTTCAAAAACTATACACTACCAATCTTCCATCAGGTCAACAAAAGATGGGACACAAATGAAGCGAAACCAAATTTCAAGGGTAGTTAAGTAAAATTCTAAATTTAGCTGGGACTACTTTTCCTTTAAGGACCACAAACCTCAGAGGTAGGTCTTACAACCATCCCTCAATTTAAAAATAAAAAATAAAAAATCACGTAAAACTTACACATTCCAGCCGGTATATGTTCTCATCATGCAGAAGGACATGGACATTTTCGTAATAAACTGCATCAATACGCTTTTCTGGCTTCCTAGAATCTTCATATTCATACAATTGAAGAAGCTTACAGTCCATTTCTTCACTGGAAACAGTTTGGAGCTGCACATCCAACGCAGCATTCAGAAAAAGCATTGTTATTTTTATTTGTCATTTTGCAGAAAAATCAAATGAGAGGTAAAATAAGGAGTACTAAGACAAGATTTGTCTGCATTACGAAGTAAAAATTGGAAATCACTATGAATACTACAACTCAGTTATACCCTAATTAAAATAAACCTCCTCGGGTATTATAAATACTGCCTCAGAATTGTGTTTGCGTGACTATTAAGTATCTCCGCAATAGCTTGCATAGAAATATTGGTCAAAAGCACTATCTGTAACCTAGGTAGATGACGGGATATGTAATCAGGTTAAACTTCAAGGATAAAATTCTTAATTATTCCTAAAAGCCAATAGTAACATACCTGTTTGACCAGCTTATAAATCAACTTATCCAACGTAAATAGAACGTACGACTGGTTCCCAATGAGTGACCGGCAATCATCTTCAAATTTTGAATTATCAGAAGATCCATCAAGTAAGCTAAATAGTGCGCTCATGAACCTGCAGTGAACTTACATGGAAAATCAGTACAGAAACATATTACTTGCAAGACGTAACTTGAGAATACAAGTAGAACCTGGCATAAGGATCAGAACTCTCATCCTTTGTTATTCTCCATTTGGATTCAGCGGATATTGAATTCACCTTTGCAGCTAATATTCTCTCATACAGTGCCTATCAGCATGTGAGAATAGTGATTATTTTCCAGAAAATATAAAAATAAAAATAAAAATAAAACTTAAACTCTCAAGATATGCTCGCATGACAACCCAATGAATTTGTTATATAAAAACAACCAACAAAAGGTATACCCTATGATGAGGTTTATTTGAAATTCATGCGTTAGCAGGATTTTGTAGTAGTTCAGTTGAACCAAACGCATTTCCTTATTAATTTACCAAAAACAAAAAGGCATCTGAGATTTGGCGGGAGTATACAATAGTCTAGGTAACTCTGACATTAAGAACCACCACCCTAGATTGCTTCATCTTACAATTTTCCCATACCATCTCTGACGCACCCTAACTTATTCCAAATATTACATATATCCTCTATTTTCAATGTAGCTATAACTAGATATATAAAGATGATAAGCAATGTGATTGTAAATCCAAGACCGTATATTCGAGCAGTTTGTAGATTCCAAAAAAAAATGCAGGCGAGCAACTTTAGATATATCAAGAATGTAAGACAACCGTAAACCTCAAAATCCGTTTTCATATATTTCTAAGTTCAGCTAACATTTTTCTACCAAATTCACGTCAAACTACAAGCTAAAAAAAATAAAAAATACAATGCAAAATCTCACCTGATGCAACCTAAAAACAACGTAGAACGCATCATTCCCATAAAAAAGCCGTCCCTCCCTCTTCCTGCCACCATTTCCAAACGAAGCCACATACTTCGACAGAGGCCTACAGCTCATCGCAAAACGCTCAGACTGCGGCCCCACCAGACCACCGTCAGGCCCTACTACACAATGGGCCTCGCTTGTGTTCTCGCTCTCAGCCTTGTCTTCATCATGCTCTCCTTCTTCCTCGTCCTCAACCCTCGAGCACTCGTCGGCCCCCGACTCGCTCCTCGAGGCAGCAGCATCCCCACCCTCGGACCCATTCTCACTGACATCATCATCCGCATTGGGGCAGTTGTCGAGGCGTTGGGATGTCCCACTGTATTCGAAATCGACGGTGGGGGAAAGCTCTCCCTCTTCCTTCTCATTCTTGCAGGGACCAGCGAGTCTTGAACCTTCGAGAAACTCTCCACCCGTTGGTTGGTTCGGTCTGGAAGAGTCCAGGACCTGCTCGCCAGAGAGAGGGGAGTTAGGCAGAAAGAACAAAGATTGTTGGGTGTTTCGTGTGATTTAATAGAACCTACGGGGAGTTTTTGCAAGTAGCCCATAAACTTGTATAATAACATAAGTGCTATAGTAAAAAACTCGAATTACAAACAGCACAAATCGCACAATGCCATCTTACCCCTGAGGAGCGAGAACCGTCGGTCATAGGTTTGAGTCCATTGGTTTCCTCGTAACCATTGTGCACTCTCAAAGCGCTTGGACCGTGCCCTTGAATTCATAACTCACATAGTTATAAAGAGAACTTTCACTAGACAAAAAGTCTAACCCATCCAAAAGAAAAAGAAGTTGGTACAAAGATTGCCATCTTATAGTTACAACAAAATAAGCAATATCAAAATGTAAATCAACCTTCAAAAAACCAATTACAAAATTTAATAATAAGGACAATTACAATATTTAACCTAAGGGTTGACCTAATTACTAAAAAACCATTAACCTTGATAATCATGTATAATCCTTTTTAGGTTTTACTTAAACTTCGCAAATTACCCCCTATTGAGGTTGTAATTTGTAAAATAGAAACAATTAATTATTTGTAATTTTGGTAGATAGCTCTAGTTTTCTGTGAATTGACTAAACCTAGAGATAATAAATGTAATTAATCCTCTGTATATAGGAAACAACAGATTGCATTGTACCTCCTATATACATACCGTGATTAACATCTGACCCTGAAGTAGCACCTGCATCAGAAGGCAAGCTAAGCCCTTCTTTTGCTAAAGTATCCAAATTTTTAACCCCAACCCTCCCCAGACTTGCCCGTTGAGGTGATTTACCATAATCACCATTGCCGCTAGGCTTTGCACTGGGACTGTCCTCACTTTCCATAATGACATTTTTCATCATCCGACGCTTCGAGGCATCTTTATCTTCAATAGGTAGAGGACCGCATGGCCGGCAGCGAACACCTAGCATTGGCTCAAGAAAAGCTGTCCAAAACCTCAGAACTTTATTCAATTGCTCTTTAGTTGAACATATCTCTTCGCAAGAGTATTTGATTATTTTGTAGATATCTTCATGAATTTCGGCATCCGGATATTCGAACGTGAGGTCTGAAAATAGGGTGTGTCTATTTCCAGCAGCGATGCTGAGAAGGACTTCATCCTCTTTCTGCCTTTTATCCTTGATTTCTTTGATCTCTGTCACTAAGGCTGTACATAGAAAGCATGAAAAAGAAAATAGTGAGAATCAGACATACATAAATGAAGACAATGACACCTCTAGGTTTTGGCAACCATGACACATTGATATCGTAACAGTATGGCATTGCTAGATGCATTAGAAATTTAAAATGAGATCAAAATCACAAGGGACACAAGGACAAGAAGTTGATAGTACAACAATGGTGATTTTCAAAAGGCTTGAAGACACCAAACAATGTTTGAGTTACCACAATAATTGCCCTTGAGGTTCAGCTTGATATTCTTTTCTTTTATTTTGTTTGAAGAAATAAGAATCTCTCAAATTGCAAACAATGGTTTGATGTATTTATTTCACAAATTACACCATCAAGAGGAGTGATCTTAAGTAAAAAAAAAAAAATTAATGGAATAATTCTGATTACGAATAATAATTAGATATTCACTATGTGCCAAACATCACGTGAGTTTTGGAAACTTATCCAACATCGTTTCAGGACCTATAAAGAGAATCAGACTCAAAAGAGAAGATGTTAAACCTGAAGGCAAAGATTCCTCCAGAGAGTGATTTTTCATTGATAAAACTAAAGGTACAAGCAGAAGCAGATTTTTAAGTGAAACAGAAATCCAGATAGAATTCAAGTTTAACATTCTCCATTAATGAGCTATCAAACAGATCTGAAAACAAAATATACCATCTTTACCATAACATATTTAACCCTATCGACATTTTAAACACCTTTAAAAGCCAAAGGAGCAGCGTCAGACATACCTTTTGCGCTCAAGTTCTTTGAATCTTGCTGCTTGAAGTAGAAACTCCGGTGGTCAAGAGACTTGTAATGGTTTTTGGAATATATTTCAGCCCATATTTTGTTGAAATCCAACCGACACTTGGTCCATTCCTCCTGCTTCTGCTTAAGACGGATTAGGATAACAGGCAATGCCCGAGATGCATTTTTACGCAAAATGTCCACCACATCAACACCATGGTCGCCATAAAGGCGTTCAATGCATCTTAAGTTTAAAGCTGACATTAAAAAATAATAATAATAATAATAAGATGAAATGGAAATGGCAAAAGTATTCCATTACAACAGAAGTTGCATTACTTTTGCAAATAACATAAAAAATCAAGTATCTCTAACCATTAGTACTTATCTCATAATTCTAAACAAACAAACCTGAGAAATACTCATCAATTCTTATAGGGCCATCTGAACCAATCGTATTATTATTGATACTGTTCAACAGCTCCTCTGCCCGCTTGACAGTTGAACTGACAGACTCCAACAGCATGTCTAGCTCAAATCTTATACAAAATCAAATGCAGAAATATTTCTCCGTTAGTAAAAGCTGAGCCATCAACTAGAGTAATCATAAATACGGCTAGGTTATACTAAACCAAAGGTTCATTGCGTCAGTTTAAAATATGTGGTATAGGGCAGACTAGTAAATATGAAGATATCTAGTAGACCAGTAACAATATGAAATGGCAATAGGAGATGACGCGAGAATCATGCACTTAAGAGAATACAGCAAAGCTCATTAAGAGGATCTCATAAATTCCTATACTTTATAAGTTGGTTCTAGAGTTAAAAAGATTTTTATCTTAAATTGAAAATATGTTATTTATTGCATCGATAAAATGAGAAAATAGAATTTATAACATGTAACAGCAGTTTGGTAATCATGATTTATCAAAATTAAAGGAAATTGTCATAGACCTGATTTTGGTGAATCGCAAATGAGATCTCCACTTTCCTAAAAACATACACAGTTTAACATCTTCTTTTGGGGCTTATAAGATCTCTTAAAGGAAAAAAGAAAAAAGAAAAACCAAACACTTTCAGAATTTACGCTAATAAACATCTAATGATATGTTTCGGTCAAACACCTAAACTTCTATCATAGTCAATCATACAATCTATACACAAGAAAAAAGGATCTCAAAACTGGAAAAAGTGCTCGTTGTATACCTGTCATCTTCACATCTAAACAAGCTTTCTTCATACTGGTTTCTCCGCATGTGTTTAAAAGAGTAATCCTCACTGCCAGAAGTCACTGAGACCCAATGATCATTTAGAACTTGGGCGCCAAGCTCTGACTTCTGGCTAGCTGTAGGTATCGGGTACTGCAAAAGGTCACAAAGATCGGTTCAATAAGAAGAGGTCACACATTCAGTAAACAGGGATTTCCTAAGTATTTACACAAATGCTTACATCTTTAGGAAGTAGCCGATAACTGGGAGTGCAACGTTGACAATTTGAAAGGTCGAGCTCTTGAATAGACTTTTCCCAATATTTTAAATTGTATCGTTCCTTATCTTTTCCTCCTTCCACTTCACGCTTTGGTTCTTTCTCCTTATCCTCTACTTTCGTAGCTTTTGAAGAGTTTCCTTCACTCCATAATGATTCTGATATTAAAGGCACAAATTTGTTAAAATAGAAGTGACAAATTTCACTTTAATAAGGTGGGCAAAGTGTAAGAAATTACACCAGAATCGTAAAAACGATAAAAAGTTTGGGAAATATATATAAGAAAAAGAGAAAAGAATGACCATTCACACAAATATGAAATTCATCAACCACAAAATTATCAATAAAGAAAAAATTACATACTTTTGCCCATAACACGAGCTAGAAATGCATCTGCAAAAAATAGGCAAGTGATTAAAGGCGATAGAAATTTAACAGAAAAAATAGAACTACATAAAAGCAAGAATATTGGGTTACCTATTCCCTCACAGCGTTCCAAAAACTCGTTAAATCCATCCATAAGATCAGGGTATTTTCCAAGTAAATCAAAAACCTGAAAGCATAAAATACGAACTTGATACAGAAACAAATTCTCACCACATCTAATGCATACAACAGATGAGCTCATCCTGAATCACTTATCAGTACACCATTTGAAGAAAGCAAAATGCAAAATCCTAAATTTAAAACAGCTATATTATAGATGATAAAGTCTGCTTCAAAGAAACAATAATTACACTGCATATGAAAGCATAAAATAAAATTAGGACATGGAAGGGAGTCCACACGTAATAATTTCAGTAAGTATGACTGTAACACCCCGCTTTTCCATGAATCTCAGAGTGTGTTTTTCGCAAAACTTTTCTAAATAAAACATTTTAATTTGCAAAATACTGATTTGGGATGCTACTGAAAAACATTTCTTTTCTAAAAATCCGTTATCTTTTCTAGATTAAAACTGTATGAATCTCAGAGTGTGTTTTTCGCAAAACTTTTCTAAATAAAACATTTTAATTTGCAAATTAAAATGTTTTATTTAGAAAAGTTTTGCGAAAAACACACTCTGAGATTCATGGAAAAACAGGGTGTTACAATGACAAAACCATGAAATTAGCTACTTCTACATTGATATCAAAAAACAATTACAAATAGAATTAACCTAGTGCTAATATATTTCACGGTATCATACCAAACTTTGCAATTCCTTTCTTGTGATAATCTCTTTGCTGTATATGTGAAGGCATTTCAAGAATGCCTGGTAATCCTCGGCATTGCACAACGTCTCTTTCACCTTTTCACAGAAAATAAACTCCTGACGATACATACCTGGAAAGATGTAACATAGTAAGATATAAAAAAGCCCAATTTACCAAATTAAACATAGAGAACGGCTAAGATATGAAAAACCTAATTTATCAAATGAAACATAGAGAACGCCACACAATAATAAGTTAAAACAAAGAAAGGGCCATTACTTCTCCGCTTATACTTTTTCCTTTCTTGTTGGTCAATTTCACCTTTTATTCCTTTATCTAGGATCTGTATGGATTAGGGCATTAAGGTGAATTGCAATAAACCATCCACTATTATTAATGGTCACCATATAGTATTAAATTCCTAATAAGAAAATCAATATCTAAAACAACACATTCGCAACTTTTTCCAGCCAAAAAATATTTTTCAGAAACAAAAATCAATAAGAAAAGCAAATAAACAATTCTCCTATATATGCCACTACAAGACATGTTTGTTGACTCACTCTTCCATGCCTCTTTGTCGTCATATGCAGCTAAACTAGAGTTTCCCCCAAAGTCTTCAACTTTCTTAGCAGATTTCCTTTTCTCGGAGGACCTTTGCATGCTGAAATCGCCATTATTCCCATCGTCATGATCTCTCTCATCCCGCTCGCGGCTTCTCCTATTATCCCTGTTTTCTCTTTCCACTTGCTTTTTGGGCTCCTTGTGCAACTTCATAGCCGTTTTATCGTCATCCACATCAGGACGGTCAACACTTGGATCTCGCTCTCCGTTGGGCCCGAGTTTTCGTGACCGTTGCTAAGAAGTTTGTGGGCCATGCAACTTTGTCAGTACTCCGACAAAATCATAAATGGGTATGGAACAAAACAACGGTTAATTTACAAAAACTAATCCTAACATCATTCTATTTAGCCAATTTGTTTGAAAATATATTTTATTTCCAAATACTACCCTGGCATTTGACTTGTCTTCAAGTATTGGAATAATACAAAAGAACTCAATTATCCTCAAATAACCCCCACAATTACTTGTATAACCTCAATACGTTACCAGGGAGAAAATGCTTTAGCAATAATTACACACACAAACCACAAGGACCCATTGGTAGCATCCAAAGATAAGTTTCTTTTTGTAATTAGGCTAAATTTAAGGGGCAATTTTTTTAATTTACCATAGGTATAAAAGGTAAAGGAAAGAAACCTTATCCACTTGAGGTTGCCGGATAGGAGGCACGGCCGAACTTCTTTCATCACCACGGGGAAATGAGTGGTGGCCCAGAGAAGCATGAGCAGCTGGTGCTTGAGCTGAGGTGTCAGGCAAAAATCTAGTGAACTCATCAAGAAGATCTGAATGGTCTTCAAAAAGCGTCGCAACCTGCAAGATAGAATACACAAAGACCTTCTATTCAGAATGAACTACTTAGTGAAGTGGGAAATTGATATAGAAACACATGCAGACCTCTTGGTAGACCTCAGTTATTCCCTTGTGTTCTTTCCGGTACATATTCAGAATGTCCAGGAATGATTTATACACGTGATCATCGTTTTGAAAACGTTTCTGCAAGTAATAATGAAAGACAAGGATTAGATGTTATATTATTCAACTTCTCCTTAACTAAAGGAAAATTACTGAAATCGCCCTTGAGTTTTGGTCTAATTAGTAAAAGACCAAATCATCTTTTCTGAAATTATAAATGCACCATACCTTTTAAGTGGTCTTCGTAATTCTGGAAGATAATTAGTTTTCTTTTTCTTTCCCTTTTTACTTAAGACTGGACTTTAAGGACATTTTTTCAGTAAAGGCTAAAATAAAATCACATAATATCCAAACTCACCTTGATCTTGTTGACAAAACTAATTGCCTCTTCAAACTCAACCGTCCTTTTCGGTGGAGCCTCTTCCTCATCCGTGAGGGTAATTTCATACCCCTTAGGTAAGAATGTGTTGAACCCGAGAATTAAATTAGGATGACCTTTAAATAACTCTTTCACTCTACCTATGACGCCAGCAGTATCAATCCTGCCCAAACAAGAAAAAGAATAAATGAAGGTTTAATGATAAGATTCCAATTGAATCCCCACACATATAACAAACTTATTCTACTGAGAGATGCATGTTCTCTTACCTTTGTGCTTTAAAATCTTTCATTACATCAAGGAACTTATCATACTTTTCTCGTTGATCTTGAAACATGTCCTTGACCTCTTTCAAATAAGTCAATGCATCATTAGTGGTGAGTTTTTGTGTACTTGCAGCAGCAACACTTGCACCACCACCTCCATTAACTATAGCACCGCCATTAACACTGCCGCCGCCACCTACTCCACCAGTGCCGCCGCTGCTGCCCATAGTAGGGTTTGGTGGGCCATGCCTGAGAACATAAAATGGAAAATATATGAATAATCAACTTTATGATCTATATCAACCACAGAACAGCTCAAAGTTACATACGAGAAGAGCCACAATTAACATATATGAAAATCAAGACAGCAACTGTGATCTTTTGTTTAGTTTCTTTCTCTTGTTCTTCAAGATATATGTTTTTGTTCCTTTTTCACATTTACTTACCTCTTAGTTTTATCAATAAAGGCCATTCCTTTTTTAGCAAAGATCATATAATATAGGGTTTCTAGCAACGATCAATCGGTTGTAACGAGCATCAGCAAATTGGGTTGGTCCATTATAGATAATCTTGATTATGCAGTCAAAAATAAAATCATATAAGAAACAAAGAAAATACAAAGAGAGAATAAGAGATAAGCACAGCCCATTTTAAAGATCTAGTTTTCTTGCAAATACTGCGCACAACAATCACAGAAATTATAAAACTATAGCATGTTGTTAATCTTTTAACCTAGTTCCTCGTCCTATCTGCAGAAATTCTCAAAACTTTAACTTTAGGTGAAGACCCAAATTGAGTCCAGATACAGAGCAACACAACAATCGGTGC